GAACGCTGGATGGTGGAGTTGATATCCTGCAGCTGCAAATGAGAACCGATTTTAATTTTTTTTTCTGTTTTGTAGCTTAATGATATGCCTACTATTTTATTTTTCAGTACCTATTACGGTTTGGTAGAAATAAATACATAAAATTTCGTAAAAGTGTAAAAATGTAACATTAAAGTTTTATCGAGCAAGTTGGACCCTTCACCCTATAAAAAAAATGTACCCACATGGACCTGGTTTCTATATTCGAAATTTGGCGCAATTAATGCAAAATTCAAAGTAGTAATTAGTAAGAATAGCAAAACAATTTTATTGAAAAAGAAAAAACAATAGCCACATGCGCCGGCGCTGTACGGCGGCGGATTGACAAAAGACTATTTATTAGCGAACTTTTTTATGCATGAACGGTTTCAAACTGTTTCAAGCAAAAATAAACCTTACACCATATCACAAGAGCACATGGTACTTCGGTCTATTCGGCCATATGATAGTAATAAGACTGCAGTTCAACCATTTTAAGCAAAATTAAACAATAAGATAAACGCATTGTTTTTTTTTTAACAGGAGACTTGTTTTCCAGAAATTTATTTACAACTTGAGTTTGTGAGCGATGGCTTTGAGTGCTATTATTTGTTACTTATTAGACTATTTTCCCACAACATGATTGAAAACCCATAAAGTAAAAAGAGTACCATGTACAAGTTAAAAAAATATGTTGCCAACCCCTAAAAATTCCAAATTTTCAAAATATCCAGAAACGAAGCCGCAGGCAGGAACTACTTGCAAAATAATGAATATTTTGTTCTGGATAAATTTTCCAAAAACGCAATTTGAGCTAGTTATAACGATTTTTAAAAAGACATGACTCGTGTTTCATACGCCACACACAAATGTAATCGATGGCACGCCTGGTGTAAAGTACCTATTCTGACTATGATCGACCATATTTCCGCTACTATGTGAGTTTTGTGATGCCCAAAGCATGCAACTTGCAAGTTCGTCGGGAATCGCGATGTTTAGCTCGGAAGAAATAGGTAGATAGTATAAACAACAAATAAACCCAAAATACGATTTCAAACAGAAATATGATTGTAGTATTCTACTTAGTTAAATAGAATAGAATAGATTAATTTTTATTCAATATACATTACATGTGTAATTCTTGTTGAAAGTCATTTTTTACTTTACCACTGGGTCGAAAAAAACCCTCTGTCCTGGAAAGAACCAGCAAGAAACCCAGCGGGACTTTTTTTTAAAATTAATTTTACATATAAACCTTCTGCTTTCTATTACTTAAATATGAAATAATAAGTTTAAGCGCTGTGTTCTTGACACCATAGTACTGTAGCTTCCTGATTAATGTCTCATGGTGAACACAGTCGGAGGCCTTGGAAAGGTCACAAAATATACCCAAAGCATCCTCTGAATTCTCCCTTGTACAAAAAATATGTTTAATAAGCTCAACTCCAGCGTCAGTTGTCGAGCGACCCTTTGTAAAACCGAATTGATTTTTATGTAGCAATTTATTAATATTAAAGAAACTTAACATCTGATCTAAAATAATTTTTTCAAAAATTTTACTAAATGTTGGTAGTACAGAAATTGGTCTAAAGTTGTCGGGGTCTAATGTACTACCAGATTTAAATATAGGTATGACTTTACTATGTTTCATTAAATCGGGAAACACACCAGATTCGACGCTTGTATTAAATATAGTGGTAGATAAGGTGCTATTATATATCTATTACTAGCTGGTACCCGGCGCGTTTCAGCCGCAGAAGAAATAATTGTGGTAATATCGTTTTAAATTTGAAAGAGTTATATTATTAGGAATGACATTCATTGATGTTGAATGATATATAACTTACAAATGTGTCGGTACTATACGCGCGCCACTTACTGTAAGTTAATTGTACTATGCCCAAAATAACCCATACGTACTCCAACCAAAATATAGCTGGCTTGGCTCTACCATGTATAAAATAATAATAAACACGTATTGTTAGAAATTTGGGGATCTATGAAAACCTTATTTAACACTTTCATTCGAAGTCAGATGTTCTGTGGGCAAGAAGACAACTACAGCCACTACAACCAAACCCCAACGATACTAACGTCACTCAATTGTTTTGCCTTTCCGGATTTCCACTAACACTTAAACTTTATGGGTATGGTATTAAAGTTCAAATTGACTTTTAAGTATTATGACGAATCTTTTGTATGGGAATATAGAAAAGTGTTGTTTTTAGACTTTTTCAGGCAATTTTTTAAATTTTTCTCTCCGTAAGAACCATCTTCGTACTTCAAGGAATATTCAGCGATTCATTTTTATATTATAGATAGATAAAATAACTTTAACGGAAATCCCCCATAAGTTTGCCGTTTTCTTAAAATCAATAGTTTTAAAATATTTAACGATATCATTTGGCAGTACTCTATGGAATTTAAAAGTATTTGAACAAACATTTCCATTTTGTTTCAGCAATGATTCGGCGACAGTAGGAGAAGATTTTAATGACTTTGTTGTCAAAAAAGGAACATCAGTAAAATGTTTCTCAAAATCCATAGCAACTTCTTGATCAGATCGCGTTAAATTATTGTTAATATTCAATTGAAAATCCGAGTTGCGTGGTTTGACCTTGCCCGTTTCACTATTTATTATTCTCCAGGTCATTTTAATTTTGTCGGATGCAATTTTAATTTTGTTTCTTAAATGCAAAGCCTTAGCAGTGGAGCACACTTTTTTAAATATTTTAGAATATGTTTTTATATAATCTCTAAATATAACACTACTATTATATGATCTTTCATCATAAAGCTCGTATAACCTTCGCCTACTTTTAAATTCCTACTGTCGCCCATTCACTAAATGATTTGCGACTGTTAAAACAGAAAGTTTTAGAAGTAAATATTCTACTAAATTCACAACTTATAATTTTAAACAACGTACCATACAAATAATTAGCACTATTTTTAAATGAAAGTGATGGAAGTCTTTTTATTATATTACTTCTAAACCTCTCCAAGCGATGTTCATTTATTGGAACAAACAAAACCTTCATATATTTCCGTTTTTTGTGTATGTAAGTGATACCAACTGTCCAGTGATCTGAACTTAAATTTAGAATAATTGATTTATGTAAGGGCTTAACATCTGTAAAAATGTTATCTATACAGGTCGCACTAGGCCCAGCAATACGTGTTGGTTCTAAGAATAAATTTACAAGATTATACGATTTAAACAATGAGCTAAACTTAATACTAATGGAAGAAGTTTCAAGGAGATTGATGTTAAAGTCCACATATTACAACAGACTTGTTCTGTTTACTAAGTTTGAGCAAAACTTCTTCCACAATCGTTTCAAAATAGTCATAAGTAGCACATGGGGGTCTGTAAACACCATGAAGCAAATACAATCTTCATGGTAAACACTTACAACAATGAGGTGCTCGAGCTCGACACAAGCCATTTCCACAGTTCGCTCAACAGAGAGGCTCATAATATCCTTACGTTCTTTATATAATATTGACTTATCTGCTAATATTAAGGAGCCACCACCTAAACTTTATTCTCTATTAAAGGTACTGACCACCTGAATCCATCCTCCTAAACCAATACCATGTGATTTCTGAAATTAAACATGAAATTATAATCTTTTAGCCAATTTTCAGTAATACAAAGGATGTGTATAATGTTACTATTTAAAAACGATTCAACTTCCAATTCTTTGCCCATCATGCCTTGTATATTTTGATGCACCAGGTGTAAACTATTTTTATTACTTATTTGTGGGCTGTATTCAAAATTAATTAAACTCTTATTATTGCTAGAGATTGCCTCTATTGTCACATTCACTAATTTAAATTAGTTGGAACTGATTCCAAATTAAATGTCAAATGATTATCATGCTCAATAAAAGCAGTCTTGGTAGCCAAAAACTTGGCTGAGTTAAAATTGTCCTAAACAAAGTATTAATTTCAGTATTTTGTGTTATTAAAACTTAAAATATTTTAATCACAAAAGACAAGTATAGGTATGTACTTGGGTAGTGAAGTAAATTTCAACTAAGTTTTGTAATGAAGTAGGTACTTAGGTATTACCATTGAGTTATATGTACTACGTACTAGAGAAGCCATTCCGAACATTGACTATGTTCAACTGAACTGTAGTGCAATCCATACAAACTAAAATTGCGTAAATTGAAGATTTGTGAATTCCATAAAATAATTATTATTACATTTTATTTAGAAATATGTTTGTTTAGATTAAGTTAAGATATTTTATATTAAATTCTTATATTTATTTTATATTAATATCTTATTTTATATCAAATTAAAATCTTCGCGCATGCGCGACTACTACTCCTACTCCCGCGCATGCGCGAAGACAGAGTAGGACACAATTTTTGTTTGGAATGGCTTCTCTAGTACGTATTATATATAACTCAATGGGTATTACTTCTGTAGTTAAATTATTACTTACAAATGTCGCTATAAGTACATGTCTAACAAAAAAAAATATTTTCATTATCCTTCGGTAACAAAAAAAAGATATATACTGAATCCTTTTGTTTGTTCATTAAACATCCATTCACGCAACAATTATTGTAGGAACGACGTTTTGCCATTATAATTTATGAAACAGATATGTAATAGACATATATATTATTTTTAAATTACATTGAAACTTTTTCAACTATTTTATCCTACAATTAAATATACTAAACAAAAACTATTTCGACGAGTATTTCAACAAGTATCTATAAAAAACTATTTACGTAGGTAAACATTGTTAAAAAATTTTAACATTCAATCGCCTAGTACGCGTTAGCCCTGAATGCGTTGTATCACTGGGGCGCCTCGCGATTGTAGGTAATTATTTTACACAGGTAGCAAGAGTGAGAGGCCTACTTTTGGTCTCACGCACACTTTGATAAACAGATACGTGTTTACCACAAGTAAACTATACTTAAAAATGGGAAGTTAAATTAAAACAATATCATACACAAAAATACTTTATTACATTTGTATAATGTCTACACACACTCTCACGTCTACTATATATTGTATATGCGTTGCAAAACTAGATCCCGCTTCGTCCATACAAGCGGCTCTCGGCTTACCTATGTTGGACAAACTGAGTGAACATGGCACGTTTGTACTCGTACCTCTTAGTATAAATAAACCCAGTTTATAGAATATCCGTCTCTACTTCGCAGCTGCGCGTTTGGTGATGAAGGCAGTCCCGTTTCATATCTAATTCTTTACTGTCTATCAAAGACATCTATATACACTACTAGACCGGCAATTCAGAACAATAATTATAACTTTAACAAAAAACAAAAACCGACTTCAAATTGCTAAAAAATAAGTTTTTTTTTATTATAGGAGAGGGGGCAAGCGATCATGCAGCTCACCCGATGGAAAGTGACTACCGCCGCTCATGATCAACTGCAATTTATTTGTTACCCTTAAGGGTGAAAACTTTTTCTCCAAATTATAGTATTACATATTTCATATCAAAATTGGTTCTTTTAAAAAATTAAGTCAGCGAAGATATCGCGTAACATACAAAAAAAAATACACTCGAAATATTGTTAAATACTTATCTACACAAATAAATAAAATTGAAGTGTCTGTTTGTAATGTCAAAATAACAGCTTTTTATTAAATGCATATGAAAGTATATATGTACGGTACTTATAACGAAAACACAATTTTTAAAATTTTTGTCTGTCTGTCTGTCTGTTTGTTCCGGCTAATCTCCGGAATGGCTGGAACGATTTTGGCGGCACGTTCACTGGCAGATAGCTGATGTTATAAAGAGTAACTTAGGCTATTTTTGTTTTTGAAAGAGTTAGTGTTCCGCGCAAAAAAATTAAAACACATGAAATCCAATCGTAATAAATTACACGCGGGCGAAGTCGCGGGGAACAGCTAGTACGAAATAAGCTTCAAATCACATTGACAAAGTGCGCACAAAAATAATGACAGCGTTTTCTTGGTTACATTTAACAAAATCAGTATTAGATTGTCGAAAACAACTTTAAGGGTTTATAAGACAAAGAAGTAAGTAGTCTTCTCGTCGGTTGTTTGAATAAACGAATTATGGAGAACCGTAACTTTATTAAGGCCGCATAGCCCGTCTAGTTTTATACATACAAGTCTTTGTTGTCCATACGAAACTTTGTATGGAATTATTAACAATCTGTAATTTATTTACAAAAATCTAAAATACGGTTTCGTAATAAGAAAAGCTTTTTTTTGTTTTTGTGTTACATTACTTAGTTCTTCAATGAGGACTATTTATAAGAACAAATCGATTAACCTAAAACAAGATCGATTATCAAATTGTAAAAGAAAATGTTTTCGATATCTGTAATAAATAATTTAATACCTATTAGGTACGTTCGGAAAGCTAATAAATGCATTAGTATAATAGTTATATTAAAACAAGACTTAAAACTATTTAGTCGACCCATAAAATGGGAAAATATACACTAATAAACTTACTGTTTAAACATGTATTAAATTGTTGCTTTCCATTTTGTGTTACAAAAATTTAGTTATGAAATGGGACTAAAACAAGCTATTTATACAATGATTTAAATATAACTCAAGTGGTATTTTACTTGATATAGTATAAATATGTACAGTTATAGTAGATTCAAATAAAGGGTAAATCTACTGATTCTAATATATTGTTCGTAACATAATACTGCTGTCAAAATATAACTACAAAAGCGGTTCTAAACTATAATAATATAATAATACGTCAAACATTATGTTACACTATGTGGCATGGAATACTTGTGATTATAAGAGAGTTTTGGCGGGAACTTGACCGGCGGCGGTTTGCTGCTCCTGCATTATTGTTTAAATAATGGTTTGAAGTAGACTTTGATATGTAAAAGTGGTGCTATTTTGTGTATTAAGTGTCTGCGCATGTGAACTATTAGTGGAAACTGTGAAACAAATGCTCTGATGGTGATGTGATTCTCAGAATAAGGTGTCTGTCTGCTTAGGTGCCTTAAAATACCATCGCCAACCGTCAGCTGTCTGCTGGCTCAAGTTGCCGTCAAAATCTCCCAAGGGCTGCACAATGTGGCGCATCAACATATTGTGAAGCAGTATACTATGAAGGATAATTATAATATATTGTAACTTCAGGCTCAGAAGGGCTAGATCCCAGAGCCGTAAATCCAGTTATTAAAAAAATTGTGATTTTAAAAGTTTTTGCGGGAACTTGAACGGTGGAGGATTACTGCTCTTGTATTATTGTTTAAATAATGGTTTACAGTGGATTTTGATATGTAAAAGTGGTGCGATTTTGTTTATTAAATGTCTGTGCATGTGGACTATTAGTGAAAATGGTGAAACAAGTGCTCTGATGGTGATGTTATTCTCAAGATAAGGTATCTGTCTGCTTAGGCGCCTTGAGATACCTTCGCCAACTGTCAGCTGTCTGTGCGCTCTCAAACATAGAAGATTAACAAAGCGACTGACTTTAATTATCACTTATTTGTTTGCGTTGACAAAAATTTGGTTATTGATAGTTGCTATACATTATTTATAAGATAGTTTGCCGATGACCACCCCTCTTACTTACGCAGTCTGATCTGAATCCCGCGCTTGTCTGCTCACCGGCTAAATAGTGTTGCCAGATTATAAAAGGCTATATTTTTGATCCTGTATTATCTTTTAAATAATGGTTTGAAGTGGATGGTGATACGTAAAAGTGATAGGTTTTGTGTGTTTGCGTATGTGAACTAATAATGGAAACAACAAAACAAGTGCTCCGATGGTGATATAGATATAAATATCTATGCCGCGCAGTGTGACATCTGTTTTTTTTTTAAATTAAAACAACGACTTAATCCTATAGATACTGCCTAGCTGCCAAAAACATCAGTCATAAAAATTACATATATACAATTCGCTTAAATAAAATAAATCACAAAAATGTCGGAATTAAAACTAAATAAAGACATATCTACTAACTAACATATTTAACTTGTCTAAAACACTAATCCATGTATAATACAGTTCTTTCTCAAGCTATCAAGTGTATTAACACATGTCCGACATAAACCAATCACTAAATTAATTAATATAATTCATAATTTCCTTGTAAAATAATTAAATAAACTTTATTATCTAATTGTTGTATGAGACCTGAAGCGCAATATCGCTATCTTGATTTGCGAATTAAAATAAACATTAAAATAGGTAGGTTGGTAGGTAGTGATAACTAATTACTGTGAGGTGAATTTCTTATAATAACAACGCAATAAAAATAAGTAGTTAGTATTTAACACTAACCGTTTCAGCTAAAGGAACATATTATAGTATTGAAATTAAAGACATTTCAAATAAAATCTATAAAAAACCATTACAAAAATATTTATTGTTTGTAACACCGAACAAACTATAAAAATAGCAAATAATATAGCATACAAGTCTTTGAAAAATAGAGGGAAAATGTATATAACGTAATCATTGATATTATATTATATACAGCAGAAGTAAATATATTGTTAGCGCGCGCGTGGTGAAGACTCGAAAACGTCATAACTAGGACTTTTGTATTTAGTCCTCGCCACACAAGACGAGAAAGTCGGTGCATAAATTTTTTTAACAATAATAAAAATGCTATCGTGTGATTTAAAAGGTGTACCAATTGATTTTTAAGTTAAGAAAACACAAGAAAAAAAGAAAGAGACAGCAAATAAATTTGACGCGAGGACGATAAAGACCTGTGCACTCCAGACATACATATATGCGGTGATTGGTGGCCTGAGTAACCCCCCTGCCACACACTCGTCAAGTGGCATGGGAAGTAGCGAGGAAAGGAGGCAGAGACGTAGTGTGGCCACAATACTCGTCATGCTGCACGTCATGCTCCTCGTCATGCCCATCGCTCCCTGTTTTGTCGGCTTTTTGGATGCGAGTCAAAGGACTGGCAAATTGAGCGCGAGTGGCTGGCCACAGACTCGCGCAAACACAGTCCGAATCGAGCGCTCGCATCGTTCTCTCGCGATAAATAGATATCATCCACCATCTCCGTTGGCTAAAACGACCTCCTTTTTTGTGACATTGATATAATTATACAACCACAGTTTCATTAACCATTGTGTTGTAAACGCGAGCGACTTGTGCGAAACGTCGCAATTAATTGCACGAGTAGAGCAGTGTGTGGCCAGAGAGGGCAACATTGTGGCAGCGCGAGCAGCATAATGTGGCTAAGCCATAAGATGAATGAAAGTAATGTGTATGAATGAGTGCCGTTATTGTTTGCAACATTTTTTATAATATCATATCTACAGTATATAATATCATTGAACGCAATCATATCGTTTGCGAATAGGTATCGTACCTAGTTTCATCGTATAGTACATACATATTATACAATGATTATACTAAAGAAAGAAATGAGATTACTCAGAAAAAAGTTGAGACATTTAAAAAGAGCACAAATAGAAATCATAAAATAAATAAGGTTTGTTGGAAACGTCGTGGTGATATTGTATTTTAATTTTTGACCATAAAATCCTCAGAGTAAAACTATAAATAGTTGTTATTTATAAAGAGTTGGCAACGCTGATCGTGTTACACATTAGTCGTAGGACGTTGCTATTAAAAGCTGGTTGTCGTTCTATACAATATTTAACCTATCTTTTACACATACATCTATTTTACTTACTAAAGTATTACGACATACTACAATTCTGGATTTATACAATTGGAGATTCTAAACAGATAACATATTATATTCACAATTTTTTTTAAAGTACGTAAGAACATATCTTTATTTCATTACAAAATGCTGTTAGCGTATTGAATAGCCGAGGTTTAGTTACTCATAGTGAGGCTAAATTAAAATGATAATATTATTGACAGGTACAAAAAAAACACAGTACAGGTTGGGACTTCATAATTTACACCAACCATAAACATTTTAAGCTTTTTTTTTTAAATTTGCCGTTATTATCTTTACTATCGTAACATGTAGTAGGTAGTTATGACAACAACAATATTAAAAAGTAGGCTGAAATACGAAAACACTTTTACCAAAAAAAAACAAAAGTAGGCATTAACAAAACGTCATTTCGTATGATAATGAACATGTTAACAAAGGTACTTATCCATGATATGGATACGGTCGAGGTACTGTAAGATGCGATTTATTGTTGCTTCAGTTCTGGGGGCGAGCTGGTGTCTGTCTCCTCGGGTCGTAGCGACATTTCGGGCAGCTTGTAGTGCTGCATATGGAATGGCGGTTCGGGACTATTGCTCGTGCGACTCATCTGCAAATGAATCCTTATTTTATTAGCCAGTTATCAATTAACTACTTCACTAGTGTAAGAATACCCACTACCCTATTTCGTCCCGTGGGTGTCGTTAGAGCCGACAGTGGCAGAGCCATGCTACAGCTATATTAATAGTATAGTTGTAGCACGAATGGGCCGACTCGACCGGGGAAGGACCACCACAGAATACCAGCGTAAAATGACAGCTTAATGCTACTGTGTTTCGTATGGTGAGTGTAGAGGACAGGAGACACTTTTACTGGAAACGAGGCATTCCATCTTAGTCCTCACGAGTGAGAACGCATCTGCATTTTGATTCGCAAACGTGGATGGATGTAGATGTCTATGGGCCATAGCAACCACCTACCAACAGGTGGACTGTGTGCTCGTCTGTCACCCTTATATTATAAAAAAAAGCCAGGAGATGGGCAGGAGCGTTTTCTTAACAATCAAAAATAAAACACTGTGTTGCCAACCCTACGCGGCAACTATTGTAATTATCCCCTATGAGGTAATCTATAGAAGAGGCCTATGTTTCTTTACCGGTAACAGTTCACCACTTCACTTAAAAATCACTTTGTTGCGTGGATTCCTTATGACTACTTTTAACATGGTACTTGGTTCCAGATTATTTATAGCTGCTAAGACTCCTTCACGGTCTAGTACTTCTTTTAATAGAAGCAGAAGTACGTTTTCAGCAAAGCGAAATCACAATAAATCAACAAATATATAGCTGATATTTTTTAAGTGAAATGTAAGCTACAAACTAACTTACAACCTACCTGATGGTAAGTGACTACTGCATATATAATCAACTTCAGCAAGCTATCCACTTCAATTACGTAAACTATGCCATAAGATAAAAAGAGATAAAGCATAAATTATATAATTGTATACGTGGTAGGACCATGCTGCAGTTGTGTTGTAGCACGAATGGGTCGGCTCGAACGGGGAAGGACCACGCTTTCGCAGAATACTAGCGTAAAATAGCAGCTTAATGCTGTTTGTGTTAAGTTTGATGAGTGTAGAGAACCGGACACCCTTTTTACTAGAAGAGACGCATTTCATCATAGTCCCTAGGGGTGCACGCATCTGCATTTTGATTCTTAATATAGGTCATAACAACATAGGTCTATGGGCCACAGCATCCACTTGCAATTGAGTGAATTTTGTGTATATCCACCTTATTCTATAAAAATAATATAAAATTACGTACTTGAGCACAGCGGCCGCGGCGTCGACGCGGCAGGATGCCTTTCCGCGCCATAAAGAAGCTGTAATTTGTTAGAAATAGAATATTAATTGATTATTAAAATATATATAATAATACACTATTATTTTGTACACGTGTATTATTTTTTATCATTACCCCTTAAACAGTCGAATGCTGGATATGGACTCCTCCGTTAAGGGGCATTTACGGTAATCACCACGCTTTTAAGCTCGACAAACACGGTCAGTTAAACTGATCAGTTGAACTGAAATCCAAGAATTGACCGTGAGTGTGAAATCTTAAGTTGAAATTTTAAGGCAATAAGTGGGAAAATCGTTTTTCCTTACACATGCGTTTTGACTGATCAATATGACTGAGCGAGTGTGTCGAGCTATAATAGCTTTGCAGCCGATTGTCAAGCACTGTATCCGATGTCTTGCATTTTTGACCCCACTCTCCGTTACTGGTCAGGATATATATGGGGTACAAATGTAAAAAACGACATCATTCGGAGGCCTTTTTGTGTGATGGATTTTTTTACGCAGTCACCATAGGACAAAAAGGTTGTATATAAAATAAAGTTGTATAGTGTGTTTCATACGTGGTAGAGCAACGCTGCAGCTATATTAGTAGTATAGTTGTAGCACGAATGGGTCGGCTCGACCGGGGAAGGACCACGCTCTCACAGAGTACCAGCGTTCAATAGCAGCTTAATTCTGCAGTGTTTTGTATGGTGAGTGTAGACTGACGGAGACTTATAATCATTTCATCTTAGACCTTAGGCGTGACAACACATCTGCATTTTGATTCTTAATCGAAGACAGTTGTAGATTATCATTTAATAAATTATTTTTAAAATATGTTTTGTATTTGTTGGCTGGAATAATTTTGCATTTTATATAGAACTAGCTGTTCCCAGCGACTTCGTCCACGTGGAAATTATTACGACTGAATTTAATGGGGTTCAATTTCGTTTGCGCGAAACCCTAATTATTTTTCCAAAATAAATGTAGCCTAAGTTATTATTTCTAACATCAGCTATCTACCAATGAAAGTCCCGTCAAAATCCATCCAGGCATTTCGGACATTAGTCGGAACAAACAGACAGACAGAAAGACAGACAGAAAAAAAATTAAAATGGTTTTTGTTATAAGTATCGTATATACTTTCATACACATTGACATTGACATTTTGACATTATAAACAGACACTGGAATTTTATTTAATATGTATAGAGTATAGATGTATAGATTATGACCAAGGGGTGAAAGTAGATTATCTTAAAGTTCAATGTTTCAGTAATTGTGTAGGGCCAGCATAAAATAAATTGTACACAATTAAAAGAAAGTACGTAGGGACCTATATATTATGATAGGTCCAGGCATTCAGGTCAGTTAAAACCACTTTCACTGTTCGATTTAGAGACACAATAGTAAACCAATAGCAATGAACCATATCTGGGTCATAACACAGGGAATGGGGAATGGGTTAAAAAATAAACATTAATGGTATTACTCTCTTGCACTCTGTACATTTACCGAATCTTAGAATAACAGGCCTTATTTGTGTACCTTTTTTTATAGAAGAGGGAAGAAAATTTTTTTACGTGGTAGAGCCACGCTGCGGCTATATTAGTAGTATAGTTGTAGCACGAATGGGTCGGCTCGACCGGGGAAGGACCACGCTCTCACAGAATACCAGCGTCAAATAGCAGTTTAATACTGCTGTGTTTCGTATGATGAGTGTAGAGAACCGGAGACCCTTTTTACTGGAAAAGAGGCATTCCATCTTAGTCCTCACGGGTGACAACGCATCTGCGTTTTGATTCGCAAACGAAGATAAATGTAGATGTCCATGGGCCACAGCATCCACTTACCATCAGGTGGACTGTGTGCTTGTTTGTCACTCGATCTTATAAAAAAAAAACGAGCTTGCAGCTCACCTGGTGGTGACTACCGCCACCCATGAACAATTGTAACACCGTGGGAATTGCAGGTGCGTTGTCAGCCTTAGCGTAGTTAGAAGTTAACCTTTAACTTCTAACTACGCTAAGTGGTTTAATTATATGTTATGTAATATTGTATTTTCTCTGTTAATGATTATTTGTAATCAAATAAAATGTCTTTATCCCTAACCGCAATCGTAACTTAGTGACTAGGGACCAGTTAATGAATGTGTACAGTTTCAGTGAATAAATGTCTTTTTTCCTTTCTTTCTTTTTTCTTTAATTAATTAAAGTTGTATTAATTTGTTTAAGTTGGATAATTGATTTCTAATAAAAAGAAGTGTAGAAGTTTACCGTGTAGTGGCGGTGTAAGATTATCTTCTACTCCATATAATCCCGTGGGTGTCGTAAGAGGCGACAGAGGGAAACAAATTAGGAGATGGGCAGCAGCGTCTTCCTAATATAGACTAAAAATAAATAACTGTGGTTGCCAGCCCGCTTGCCAAGCGTGGCAACTATGGCAAATATCCCCACTATGAGGCAATCTATGGGGGAGGCTTATGTTCAGCAGTGGACTTTAACACGCCATAACGGTAACTGTAATAAAAAGAAGACGATGGAGGAAGTCTGACCGTATAGTGGAGATGGGTATGTTGAACTTCTCGGAAACGGTCTGGAAGGTGAGACCGCGGCTGACACAGTCGGCCGCTTGCCGCAGCACCACCTCACTGCGCCGGATGCGCTTGTTCATGTTGTACTCCGCCGGCGGAGGCTGGCTCATCTGACAAACACACACCTAGTTTTTACACGTGGTAAAGCCATGTTATAGCTATATCTAGTAGTGCATCGACCGGGGAAGGAACACGCTCGCACAATACGTAAAATAGCAGCTGAATGCTGGAAATGCGACACTCAATCTTAGTTATTAGGGGTGAAAACATATCTGTCGGCCTATTCGTGCTACAACCATAACATAGCTGCAGCGTGGCTCTACAACGTAATTTAATGTATTAATTGGTTATAAAATCGATTAAAATTTCATATTTGAGACATGGCACAGTTACAAGGGAAGCGAAGGCTTAAAATAGATCTATAAAAACCTTACAAGAGATATTTTTACTTTACAGTCAAATGTTCTACTGCTGGGTACACATTTTTAAGTAGCGAGATCTAGATTTTCGAGAATATTCGTGACGATGCCCATGTGAGAATGAGGGCGACGACTTTTTCTGCCACCAGGGCGGCGCCACTTAAAAGTGAGGTAAGTACAATATTTGACAGATTTCATAGTGGGGAAGTTAATTTGTTCGGAAAATGTAAAGGTTGATGTTTCTTTCTGTACTTTTAGTTATATCTTATATTAATAAGATTAAAAATAAATAAACCAAATCACAGATATTCATAAAAGAAGAAAAATTTTATAAAAGTTAAAAATGTGCAAAATGTTGAAGAGCAAACCACTGCGGCATTGTTTTTTGTATTAATATAATGCTAGTACTACTACTAGAAACTGATAAACTTTTATTAAAAACTAACTTCTCAATTAAATGACATTGTGTAACAAAAAACTTTACCTCAGTGTCAGCTAGCGACATCTGGTGAGCAGAAGATTATTCGCCCTCATTCATAACCTCTAATCTCACCTTCCTTTTTCAAATTCTACTGTAAGGCATGTTTCCACAAGAAATAAACATCTCTAATAAAATTGTGATTAGAAAAAAGTTAAATTAAGCAAAGTTATTCACATATACTTTCCACTCCACAGCCGGGCACAGGCTTCCTTTAAGTTCTGAGAGGATAATGTAAATATTTTACTTCTCAGACCGGCAGCAATTACCAATTTCTTATGTTTACGCAAACAATATACATTTAAATAAAACTAGTTTTTCGTACTAGTACAGTTCGGAAGATTACGACACATCTTCTCGTTAGGTAGGTATTCCTCAAAAATTTCAAAAAATAATATTGTACAACCAGTGCGAGACTGACTGATGAATGTGGTCCTTCACTGCTGGCCGTATGAGGACGCTCTCACAGAATACCAGCGTAAAATAGCAGCTTACCACTGCTGTGTTTCGTGTGGTGAGTATAGGGAACCGGAGACCCTTTTTACTGGAAAAGAGGCATTCCATCTTAGTCCTCACGGGTGACAACGCATCTCCATTTTGATTCGCAAATGAGGATAGATGTAGATGTCTATGGGCCGCAGCAACCACTTACCATCAGGTTGACTCTGTGCTCGTTTGTCACCCTATCCTGTAAAAAAATATATTAAAGTAAATAATATTTAATAACGTAATCAAAGTTGGACAGTAAATAAAACGGCGGGTACCTGTGGCGGATCTCCCACGTGGATGACGTTCACTCCTGATGTGTAGCCCGGTCCTATAGTCATTATCTTGGGCCTCACTTCCACGAAAGGGGCCGAAGCTGGTAATCCAGGTGTCTGTTGATAACAAAGAGAATTAACTTAATTTTAAAAGAAATCAACAATTGAATACTAGTCTAAGGACAGGGAAACGACCATCTTATGAATTTGTCACTGAATTCTTCTCCTGCCGTCGCGGAATCATTACTTAAACAAAATTTAAATGCGTGGATAAAGAATTTTAAAATTTCATAAAGTATCATCAAATGATATTGTAAAATATTTTAAAACTATTGATGTTAAGAAAACTGCAGATCTGTGGGGGATTTACGTTAAAGTTATTGCGTCTTAATAGATACAATCGCGCCTCCACTAGCTCTTATTTTTACTGCTAGTATCGAATATGGTGCGCTTCCTGATTTAATCTGGTAGCACATTAGACCCCGCAAATTTTAGCCCAATTTCTGTACTGCCAACACTTAGTAAGATTTTTGAAAAAATTATTCTTGATCAAATGTAAAAAAAAATTAATATAAATAATTTACTACATAAAATGAATTTAGTTTCACAAGGGGTCGCTCGACAACTGATGCCGGTGTTGAGCTGATTAAATATATCTTTAATGCATGTGAGAATTCACAGCATGCTTTGGGTATATTCTATGACCTATACAAGGCCTTCGACTGTGTTCACCATGAAACATTAATCAGGAAACTACAATACTACGGTGTTGAAGAGCATCACCTCTTAAATTAATTATTTGATATTTAAGTAACAGAACGCATAAAGTTGTCATTAATAGTATAAGCTCATCCGGGTCGGTAGTAGAAATGGCCGTTCTTCAGGGATCAACTCTCGGCCCCTTTTTGTTTCTTGTATATATTAATGACTTACCTTACATAGTAGGGGATAACCATGATATAGTATTATTTGCTAATGACAATTCTTTAATTTTCAAATTAAGACGACAATTACTAAAATAAGACAAAGTAAATAGTGCTATATCTACTACTCTGTCAAGAAAGTACCAGGAAAAGATCAATAATACACAAAATGTTAGTTATTCATCCTAGTTTATTTTGTCACCTTCAAAGTATGTTCCTTCAGAAATGATACACTTTCTCCAACGAATAATCCAATCATCAAAACATTTTTTAAACGCTTTTACCAGAATTGAGTTCAGTTCTCGCTTCAAATTCTCCTTTATGTCTTCTATAGAATGAAACCGGGTGTCACGAAGTGTTAATTTGAGTTTTGGAAAAAGAAAGAAATTGGCTGGAGACATATCTGATGAATAAAGTGGTTGCTCGATGGTATTTGCTGAATTTTTGATCAAAAATTCGTTCACAACGATGGCCTTGTGCGAAATTATCGTGCTGCAAAATCCAAAAATTTTCTTTCTACAAATCTGGCCTTTTTCGTCTATTTTGCTCTCTTAAACACCGCATAACCCTCAAATAATTTTCTTTATATATCGTTTGACCTCCCGGCGAAAATTTCAAGTCCACAAAACCGCGATAGTCAAAGAAAACAGACTTTGAGTTTTGATGGACTTTCGGTTTCGGTTCATTTGGAAAGCGCCACTACGAAGGTTATTGACTAGTTTGCATGTCAAACTCGTACCGCGTCTCGTCACCAGTAACAATGCGTATCATGAATGTTGGGTCGGAATTGACTCTTCTAACATTTCCTCAGCGACTCTTATGCGAATGAGTTTTTGGAGAAAATTCAGGACTTTTGGGACTAGCTGAGCGGCAACATCGACTTGTGAGACAGCGGCTATCTTTCTCAAATTTGAATGAGGATTTTAAGTCACTATTTCCTTCACTTTTGCGATGTTAACTTCAGTTGTAGACGTTGATGGCCTACCAGATCGAGGCAAATCTTCCATCACATCTCGACCGCTTTTAAACGCTTTGTACATGGATATTGTGGGTCATAGACATGTAGATGTCTATGAGCCACAATATCCAGATGTAGATCTATCCCTAATTAAGAATCAAAATGCAGATGCGTTGTTACCCCTGGGTACTTGTATAAATCGCCTCGTTCCCAGTAATAAAAGTCACAGTTTATCTACACTCACCATACGAAACACAACATTATTCTGTTGCTTTACGCTGGTTTCTGTGAAAACGTGGTCCTACCACGTTGGCACCGATTCGTTCTATAATCACAATATAAATGCAGTATGGCTTTACCACGAATAAATCTTCATCTATATTAGTACGCAAAAGTACAAAGATGGTTAAGGACCTCTTCCGATGGGATAGCTTTGTGGCGGGTGGATGGAAAAGGGGAGATCTCCCGCCGGGTAAGGTGTTCTGCCCGGGGAGCGGCCAACGCTCCAAGTGATACCTCGGAGCTATTCTATATATGCTGCTTTAATTTCGGAACTTTGTTAGTACGATTTAGGCTTCGATGTGTTTCGCTTGTGACGCGACGACAGCGCCGCTACATCACCCCCCTGCTCAGACCTGAGGTCGATAGTGCAGTCTAGATGTCGACGAATTTGCAAGTGCCAGGGAATTGCCTTGTAGTCTGCGGTGAGTCGAGAAGAAGGCAAGTAATCTGCGAGAGTGCCGTGAAGCAGAGGCGAACAGTAAGGCTCAGAGCCGTGCCGAACACTGTAGCGCAGAGAGTAGCTTGAAGAAACAGGATGCATATTATTCCAGTGCAGCGATGAACCTTTATAACGCTAGATGGCTTGCAGAATGTGAAGACTGCAGACAATATCTGCTCGGGAGCGAATGAATGGGGTTCTTGAGGTTGATGACGAAGGTTTTGAAGTTGTAGTTTCCGAAGGTTGTTCGTTGCGAGTTCAGATCACGTCGGGGTCACCACTGTAGCCGGTGGAAGGAAAAGGGGAGATCTCCCGCCGGGCAAGGTGTTCTGCTCGGGAAGCGGACAACGCTCCTATTGGTAACTCGGAGCTATTCTATATATGCTGCTTTAATTTCGGAACTTTGTTAGTGCGATTTAGGCTTCGATGTGTTTCGCTTGTGACGCGACGACAGCGCCGCCACAACTTGTTTGATATAGATGTTTGGTGGGATCTCGTTTACGCCAGATGGAAAATATCCAGACGGTGAGCGGTGACAACACATCTATATCCTTATTATTTGAGGTTGGTTATGGGTGTCTACTGGCTGTAGTAGTCACTTATCATCAGGTGGACTGTAAATTCATTTTCCACGTCAATTTTATGAAAGAAAAACCACCAGCGATTATCCTTCACTCTCAGACTTCACTATCTTCGCTCTTAATAAAACAAGGGTACTACTGACGTGGTTAACTTGGTGGATGATGAAGGCTGGCGGCTCGTCGCGCAAGTCGTAGGTGTGGTCGTCCGGAGGTCTCGCCGCCGGTCGCTCCGTATCCAGCTCGTTGTCTGACGGACTGTCGTATTGGCACTGCACGTTGGCTATCGCGAACTCTGTGAAGACCAAACAATGACGGCTATAAACTATATAATCTTTCGCTCTTCAGATGTCGCTAATTGCTACCGAAGTGAAGTTTGTTACCCCTATCTTTTCCAACAAATTAATTTCCTAGCCATGCAATCTGTAAAATATTTCACACCTCGTTCCTACCTAGCGCTGGACTGGTGGAAGAAAAAGTCGTGGATTAGTTTAAGATTAGTCGTCCACATGAATAGGCATGTAAAATGACATTAGCCTAATATTTTTTTAATATTCTGACGGAGACAAACAAGCACACAGTCTACCTGATGGTAAGTGGATGCTGTGGCCCATAGACAGTTACCTACATCTATCCTCGGTTAAGAATAAAAATGCAGATGCGTTAACACTCCTGAGAACTAAGATGGAATGCCTCGTTTCCAGTAAAAAGGGTTTCCAGGTCTTCACACTCACCATACGAAAACACAGCAGCATTTACGCTGGTATTCTGTGGGGGCGTGATCCCAGCCCGGTCATGCTATACCATAATCTAACCGCAGTGTGGCTCTACGACGTAAAATATATGTGTGAAACTGCGAATGAACTGTATGCTCGTTTGTTACCCTTATTATAATATTTACCTTATTTGTACTTAATCGAGGATAAATGTAGATGTCTATGGGCCACAAGCCGCAGCATCCACTTACCATTAGGTGCACCGTGTGCTCGTTGTCACTCTTATACTATAAAAAAATTACTATATCCGAATAACTAAATATAGCATTTACTTGGTAGAGCTATGCTGCAGCTATATTAGTAGTATAGAATGGGTCGGCTCGACCGGGGAAGGACCACGCTCTCACAGAATACCAGTAATAATGCTGCTGTGTTTTGTATGGTGAGTGTAGAGAACCGGGGACCTTTTTTACTGGACACGTGGCATTCCATCTTAGTCCTCGAGGGTGACAACACATCTGCATTTTGATTCCTAATTGAGGATGAATGTAGATGTTATGGGCCATGCATTCACTTGTCATCTTCATCCACCTCATGATTTGTTTCGTTTTGTCGCCCCTTACGGCTCCCATAGGATGATATGGGCACAGATTAAATAATGTTACTAAGTGAATATGGGGTAGTGGATATTCTTACACCGCAAATAATATATAATATTTAATATTTATTGTTTCTCACATAACTTATAATACACGGTAAATAATCGGTTATTAAACTTCTGATAAAAATAATGTTGTATTACAAAATAAATGCATATTACTAGTCAATCAAAATAGAAATGAATTTCTCGCTATGACAAATGCACTAAAACAATTGTAACTGTGTAGGTACTTCAAATGATAAACCAATATAAAATGAAAAAACTGGAGCACCATTTGCTATAAAATCTAGGACGCCAAAAAGTCAAATCGGGCGCTGAATGCCACAAAATATGGTACTGGGCTACCTGCATCCATTGAGGAATTCAATGCCTTACCAGATTGTCACTCCATTAAGAGGAGCTTCGAGCATAGCCCTCTCCATAGCTCACTAGTGACCTTAAGCTTTATAATACGGCCAGCAGTGAAGGTGCAAGTCTCAGGTCCATATGTCAACACTGTCAACTGTAATTTCTTTTAATAGTACAATATTCTATTTTAAAAATTAAGTTTAATAACCTTAACATAACAACATATGATAATTTCATATGTTCAACTTCTTCAACTTAAAAAAAGGAAAAAACCGACATAAAAAAGCAAAAAAATAATAATAATAATCTTTGCTTCTACAGACGGTGCTAAGTTAGTGTTTCGTTGAATTAAATCCCCGATGTTAGAAGCTATGCAATTATATGGGAGTTATATTTCTTATCCGGCTGCTCCAAAAGGAGGGTAATGTTTTTCGAGAGTAGGTGTGTATGTCTGTCTTTATGTCTATTCCTTTGGCACGCCCTATGAAGTGTCATTAGATTCGTGTTAATTGTGGAAATGACATAGGCTATGTAATCTTTATATATTACATTTGCAAATACAAAAGAAGGGAGGGGAAGATTTTGTTCAGTAAAGTTTTTAACGCATTCAGGTTTTTTAAAATAATTGTATTAACCATTAAGTTTGTTTTTTATTTTTAGCTCATATAAAAATAAGGATGTTCTTAATTCGACTAATTTTGAATTTACACAAATGTAAGGTCCTATTCAAATATGAAGAAAAATTGCACCCCGAAGGGTGAAGGGGTGAATTTTAATTTAACCATATGACGACATTGATGTTACCTTGAGGTTGTTATTGTTTAGTCCTCTCCACAGAATACAGGAATGACGGCTCAAAAGGGTACATTAATAAACTTAAAAAAAATTACATAATTGTTTTCATTACTAGCGATCCGCCCCGGCTACGCACGGGTGATTTCTGGATCTCGACAAAACCCACCTACCGGGTCTAATTGTGAATTTAAGTCATCTAGGGACCCAATATACACAAAAAAAATTCATCAGAATCAATCGAGTCAGTTTCGAGTTTTAGCGAGACTAACGAACAGCAATTGATTTATATAATAGAGATTTTTTTTAATGTGGCCAACTTGCTTGCCAAGCAGTAGCGTGGCAATATGGCAATATAGCAATATAGCGAAAGGGGCAAACTAGTATACGGTTTACCTGATGGTAAGTAATTACTGTCGCCCATGAACAACTGCAACACCAGGGGAATTGTTATGTAATTGCCGGAATTCAAAAAAAGAGTAGGCTGTTTTCTTGAAGGTCCCTAAGTTGTATCGGTCCAGAAAAACTGCTGGTGGTATTTAATTCCACGAGGAAGTTGTGCGAGGAAGAAAACTTCTTCTAAATCGCACGGTAGTGGACCGCCAAACAGATGGTACGAATGGTATCTCCACTTCTGTCGCGATGTGCGATGGTGAAATAGAGTAGCTGGAATTAGTCCGAACAATTCCTCCGAGCAGTCTCCGTGGTAGATACGTTAGAATATGTGAAGAGATGCAACATCTCTTTGCAGTACCAGCGATTAGAACCGCTCTGCGCTGGATGCGGAGCTGACACTGGGGAGCCACGGCCCAGAGATGGAAACAATATTCCCAATCTGAGACTATGTTCAGCAAAGACTCGACTTCAGACACAAGTTTCTTCCGGTACTCGGCGACATTCTCCGAGAATTATTGGCACGGCCGGTGTATAAAGCATCACCAGTGCTTTCATCCTCAAAACAATGAATATTACCGGTTTGCAATATATCATTGATATGCAGAAGAAACAGCGTCGGTGATAGCACGCAGCCTTGAGGAACACCAGCATATAAAAATAAAATATAATATTAAATATAACAGCAAGCCAGCAATAGCCTTGTAATCGGAGCATGAGTGCATGCATCGTATCTGCAAGAAAGGTGATGATCCAATTGTACAATCTCTCGAGAAGCTCATAAGATGGAAAGAAGCGTTTTGTGCCAAAGCCGATCGATGGCCTTCGCCATGTCCAAACTAACCGTCAAGGCTTCAACCTTGGACTCGACCGCCTGCGCCCATCGGTGTGTTAAGTAAGCAAGAAGACCACCAGCTGAGCGACCCCGACAGAAACCGTACTAGCGGTCGCTAATCAGCTGGTGCTCCTCAAGATATCGCATGAGCTGTCCAACTCCATTATTTTCGAGAACAAGGAGGTGATAGCAATAGGTCTGTAATTGGACGGATCAGAGCGGTTACCCTTTTTTAGGGATCGGGTGCACGAAAGCTGTCTTCAATGAATTTGCTCGGAATCGGATTTGAACGATCCACAGGGAATGAGGTGATCGCTACCAAGCTATTTCTAATATTTTGTGTGTTGTTAATTTTTTTTAATAGTATAGGGTGACGAACGAGCACACAGTCCACCTAATGGTAAGTGGTTGCTGTGACCCATAGACATCTACATTTATCCTCGATTATGAATCAAAATGCAGATGCGTTGTCACCCGTGAGGACTAAGATGGAATGCCTCGTTTCCAGTAAAATGGGTCTCCGGTTCTCTACACTCACCATACGAAACACAGAAGTATTAAGCTGCTATTTTACGCTGGTATTCTGTGAGAACGTGGACTTTCCCCGGTCGAGCCGACCCATTCGTGTGTTACAACTTACAACTATACCAGAAATATAGCTGCAGCATGGCTCTACCACGTAAAAGCATGGCTCTACCACGTATTGTGCAACTTTAATGATTGTAAACTGTTCCTTCTTTCAAAATAAAGTCCCGCTGGGTTTCTTGCTGGTTCTTCCCAGGACTGATGTATTTTATTTCTGTTGTATCCTGACCAGTGGTAAATTAAGCATAAGAGCGACTTTCAATATGTATTATTTATAATCTATATTGAATAAAAACCCGTAAAAGTAGACTGCTGGACGAGGCCTGTCCCGTTGCAGGGAGGATTTGTATGACGTGTGCAATAGCAGACATCTGACGCACCTTTGAGTTTAGACGCTAATCCCGTCACGGGCCTGGGTATTTTACACTTAGCATAAACAAGATAGCTGAAAGATTTTTTTTAATAAAAATACTAGTAATGTCATTAACATTACTAATATTCCCTGGTAAGCTTAAAATGCTTGTGTTAGGAGTAGTTCACGACAACAGTCGAGTGACGGATTCGGACTTACGACCTTTTAAGTTCGCGGTCCGCACCCTGCCATTAGTCTACTGTAGTCATATCTTTTTAACCGTAGTTATTGCTTCATTGTTGCCTTATGTTTACACCACATGACACGTGTGTTAGATACCTTAAATCGTTATTGGACTAAAAAGAACCAAATTAAAACGAATAACTACACGACAAAACATATTTATTACCATCCAATACAATCATCCGTTCTAATACTAATATCATGTAAATTTTAGCGACAGTAATTTTTGACCTTATCCATTAAATAGTGCGACCAGCGTATTGGTACCAAAAGAAACAGAATTAAAATATTATGTATGTATTATTTTAAAATAACGTTTTAAACAGTTATGGCGGGAAAATTCTACGTAATGTAATTCGTTGCATTTGAA